GGTCTTGGGAAGGATCCCCAGTAACAAAGAAGAGACAACTCTACACGTAAACCACACAGAGTCCAGCTCACAGGACATAGTCAAAGGATGTTAGCAATCACGATTTTCAATGTCAAAGCCACTCACTTTAGACATGATGTATTCTTCCTGGAACCCACTTCTTTCCTTCTGAAAGCCTTGAGCTCCTTTGAGTGGGCTTGGTATATCATCCGCACACCCCCAGGACGGGTTTTCAAAGATGTGAACATAATTACAATGGCACACAAAAACATGCAAAAACAAGTCATGCAGCACTGTGCTCTTCAAAGACCCTTCTGACCTAAGCAAACAGTGTTGTGAGGACCAGTACTGAGAGGCTGCACACAGTAGGCGCCCAGATCAGACAGCACTCACAGGTATGCAGACATTCCCCCCAGCACATATGGCCGTCCGCTGCAGCATACTGAGAAACCTTGTACTCACTCCCTGTACTTCTTTCCTCAGTTTTTAACTGACCCAAACAAATACATACTCACCAACTCAAGATTTTTCATCTCTAGAGACAGTCACAAAATCTAAGACAGTTGATATCTACAAACTAGTTTTTTGTGGCCAGTGAATCCAGAAAAAGAGAGCATGTTTTCATAAATGAGATGTTAATTCCAGAGTATAAACTAAACATATAGAATTGTGCTTATTGCCAATAAACTCAAATTCCATCATTTCATTGTATACATTGTATATGTATATATTATATATAAAATCAATATATACATGAGAATAGTCAAGTTTATGGTTTTATTTAGAAAAACAGGATCAAAACAGAGTCCAGATTTCAATATTGTAACAAAGATAAGTATATTATGAAAAGGCTGATTTTATCCTCAAAGTAACTACTTGTAGAAGATTTTCATAAATAAGTTTGCTAATAACTCATGCAAGAAGAAGAGGAGGAGGAGGAAGAGAAGGAAGAGGAGGAGGAGGAGGAGGAGACAAAAAGCAGCTGCTGACAGAGGTGTAGAGAGAGGAACTCTTCCCTATATATGTAGGAACATAAATCAGTACAGTCACTTAGAGGACCACAGAGGTTCCTCAAATATTAAAAATAGAGCTAGCATATGATCAAGCAAGGCCCCCTGAGTAATATTTAAAGGGAAGGAAATTGCATGTGGAAGACACATCTGCAGCTTTTTATAGCAGTACAGTTCTCAATGGTCAAGAAATGGACACTGTCAGCCAAAAGGGAAAAAAAAAATATGGTACAGATATTCAATGGGACTGAACAAAGGGCTGGAGAGATGGCTCAGCGGTTAAGAGCACTAACTGTTCTTCCAGAGGTCCTGAGTTCAACTCCCAGCAACCACATGGTGGCTCACAACCATCTGTAATGGGATCTGATGCCCTATTCTAGTGTGTCTGAAGACAGCTACAGTGTACTCATATACATAAATAAATAAATCTGAAGGAAGGAAGGAAGGAAGGAAGGAAGGAAGGAAGGAAGGAAGGAAGGAAGGAAGGAAGGAAGGACGTGAACATAGAATGGTGGTTACCGAGGGCTGGGGAAGGCAGCAAGTAGGGCCGACGGGGAGAGGCTAATGGTACTAAGACAGAAATGCAGCGCTCTACTGTGCTACTGTATAGTATGGTGGCAGTAGATGGCATAGATTGTACCTCAAAAAACTAAAGAAGAGGCAAAGGAGGAGGAAGGGAAAGACATGGGGTAAGGCAGAAGAGGGTGGAGGAGAAGGGAGGACAGAGAGGAAAACAGGAAGGGAGGAGAGCAGTGGTAATTCTCTTTTACCAGCTTCTAACTAGAGAGACTTTGAAACACTGCATCTAAAGCCTCCAAGCAAAAGAATTAGTCTAGGATATACTCTTTCGGCACAATAAATGGCTCTGAGCCACCCTGAAGCCCACATACATACCCTGAAGCCTTCTACAGACTCATCCTTTCCTTGGTGACGCACAGACCACTAAGACAGGTCACTCGTCTGGAGTCAGCACTGCTGAGCAACCATGAGGACCTGAGTTTGGATTCCTGGGAACCACACAGAAGCCAGAGTGCAGTGGCAGGCACCTGCAACACTAGAGCTGGGGCCCAGGCAAAGACAGGCGGACCCCAGGTCCGCCAGAAAGACAGGCTGATGAGATCCAGGCTCAGTGCAGAGGAAAACACCTGACAATGACCTCTGACGTTCACACACCGGGACAGCCACACACACACACACACACACGCCTATATACATTAACATGTACATACATGCTAGGCACACACAAAAATAAGATGAGAGAAATGGAGGAAGACAGCTGGAATCAACCTCTGGCGCTCTCTCTCTCTTTCTCTCTCTCTCTCTCTCTCTCTCTCTCTCTCACACACACACACACACACACACACACACTATGCATTCATAGATGTACAAGAATTATCTGAAGTACACTCTATAATAGCAAATACCTGGGGGAGATACAAATCCAGCCACAGAATAATAATTAGAACTCTCTCCAGTCACTGAAACTCTATTTGTCTCCTAGACACAGCGAGAAGAATCTGCCAGTGCTGGTGAGGAACGAACTACATGCACACTGATCTGAAGCTAACTTTTTTTTTACCTTAAACATAGTCTCTAAGAGGGGAGAGGTTAAATGTGGTTTTTAGATTTTTTTTTTAATAAAGAGTATATTCATTAAGTTTCCCATTTTTTTTTCTTTTTACTAAAAAATTAAATTGTTGGCATAAGAAGCTCTTCCAAGTTTCTCATATCATCACCATGGAAACAGCTCCTGTCACCGGTATATTCTTTAAGGCATACAGGTTCCCACATCCAATGAAAGAAAGCAACTATGCTTTGGATCCTAAACAAACTGTGCTGCCAAAACAACCTGAAACCAAATGGCTTAAAGATATGTCACACAGGAGTCTGCTCATGACATACAGGCCGACGTCACAGACATATCACACACACACACACACACACACACACACACACA